AGATTAATGTAATGAAAAAGGAAGTTGAGGTACAGTTCTAGATGAAAGGAGGAGAAATGCAGTATGTCACCCTTGCTATGACTTGGCTTTGAACAAATTGCCATAATTGTCACATTCAGGACAAATGGGAAATTTGAATGTAGACTAAGTGAATATAACAATAAGGAATTATTCATATTTTGTTAGGGTATATAATGGTGTTATGTGTTGAAGGACTGCAAATTGAACTATATAGCGGTACAATGTCATGCTGTCTATTTTAAAATGGTTTGGCAAAACGATATACTGTATAGGTGAAAGAAAAGTGGCAAAAAAATATTGATAGTTGTGGATTCCAGTGGGAAGAGATATAGGTGTTTTTGTGCTGTTATTTCTACTTCTGTGCATATTTGAATGCTTTCACAATAAAATATAAAGAAGAACACCCTGAGAATCCCTGATCTAAAGAGAGGATTGTGAATTTATTCTATGGGATCTGGTTCCTGACTCTTCAACAGGAACCAGATCCCACAGAATAAATTCAGAAAAAGAAGACCAGATTGTCAAATTTTGGAGGACCATTCAATGACGGAATCTAGATTCAGAAAGATGGCAACTGGCTGGAATCTAACTAGAATAAACCCTAATAAGAAATAATACAGGGACATGCATGTAGGTATTTAAAAAAAATTAGCAGCCTGAGGAAAGCTGTCAGAACAGTAATTCTCAACAGAAGAACAAAAAGTCTTTAGCTGGTAGCAAGTCAATGTGAAAGAATGATTGTGACTTAGCTGTTAGGAAAACTAAGGCCATAATAGTCTGTTTTCAGGCAGTAGGAAATCCAGAACAAAGGAAGGTACAATTCTCATAGCCACATTTGGCCAGGGCATTAGTGGAGTTTTAGATTCTATTCTCTAGGTGCTGTAATTTGAGTGGCACTGGGGTGGATCCAGAAAGAATGACTGGGTCCATGTCATACTGCTCAAAGAAGAAGAAGAAAAAAAAAAAAGGCAGAATGCAGTGGCTCATGCCTGTAATCCCAACACTTTGGGAAGCTGAGGCAGGCAAATCACCTGAGGCCAGAAGTTCAAGACGAGCCTGACCAACATGGAGCAACCCTGTCTCTACTAAAAATACAAAATTAGCTGGGCGTGGTGGCATATGCCTGCAATCCCAGCTACTTGGGAGGCTGAGGTAGGAGAATCACTTGAATCTTGGAGGTGGAGGTTACAGTGAGCTGAGATCATGCCATTGCACTCCAGCCTGGTCAACATGAGCAAAATTCTGTCTAAAAAATAAAAAAAAAAATGGCAATATGGGCCGCACCATCAAATACATTAAGGATTTTTTTTTTTTTTTTTTTTTTTCAAAAAGGAGCTAGGCCCATGCAGGCAGCTTCCTAAAAAAAGAATCAGGTATATTTGTTTCAATAAAATAAAGGTTTTTTGTGTTTTGCTTTTTTGTCATTTGTTTTGTGCCCCAGGGAATAGTCGCATTTGCTAAATAGATACCATTATACGAAACATTGTTGCTTTTTTTAAATTGGGAGAACAAAGGTTAATTTAATGCAAACATGTAGGAAAAACAAGTGAAAGTGCTTTGAAAAGGTTAAAATGCTACATTAATGTTACTATTTGCCAGTAGGAGCCTCTCAGTGGCAAAACTTCCAAGGGCCAGAGATAAAGTTTATTCTTTGAATTGGAAACTTGTCCAAACCTTGTAAGTATTCAAGGACTATGTTGTTTGAGTGCCAGGAAGACAAACAGTATGTTATTAGTTTATAGCCAGATTCACCCGGTGGCAATTTTTAAAGGATTTTGTTTGGTTCATTTTGTTCTGTTTTTGAGTTATTGAAACATTCACATGATTCAAAATTAAAAGAGCAAATACAGGTATACTCTGAAAAATCCTCTTTCTTGGCCAATTTCTGTCCTCCAGCCACTTAGTTCTATGCCTTGGAGCTAATTAATGTTACCAAATATCTTTCTGGTTGTTTTTTATGCACATCTGACTCTTCATGCATTTTTCTCCACGTGAGAATCTAGGAAGAACAAAAATCTACCCAAGATTATCCGTTTTGCAAAATTAATCTGAAATGTGTATTACTTTAAACCCAGAGTAACATTATCAGTAGATTTTCATAGTGAAGAAATTACCATGGCCCATTTATGAGAGATCTTTTAGATGATGTTTAAAAACATGCAGCTGGTAAAATATTTGACAAGCCCAGGTTATCACCTCCAAGGATCCAACTCAGTGCAGGAAAGATTGGGCTAAGAGGGATGCCAGAGTCAAAACTTTGACTCCCACAGGAAAAATAGAAGCAAATATTGGTGTGAGTAAGATTTATTTTAAATACTACTACTGGTAGAGAAAAATCACACACCATATATGCAAATCTCTTTGCAAATTTAAATTGAAATGAGAGCATTGGGTTAGTCCTGCAGAGAGGTATGTCAGAGTTGGACTTCCCAATTTAGGAAGTTCTTCCATCCGTGACATTACTCTCAGGTTTTTGTTGTAGGCATAAACTGAAAAGGAAATTCACCAGCTGGATAACTATTCAACAAGGCTGCAAATGGAGTATTACTAGTGTGCTAAAGCCACACTAGGTCCAGGTTTAGACCTCAGATTCTGAGAAATGAGTTCACACTAGCCCAAGAAAATTAATAATCATTCATATAGGGAAATCAGATTTCAAAGGACTAGACTTTTTGTGCTAACTGGTCAACTCACTCTATCTGAGAAACCAAACAAAGTTTATAAAGTTTTTAAGTAGACAATCTGAGCAAAGGGAGGTAAATGATGATAAAATGTATCATCAGACTTTGAAACCCTGCTGTTAACTTTTCTCTAATACCTCTATCAAGTGACTAGATTAATCAGATAAGTGAGTAAAAACATCCTGGCATCCCTTTCCCTAGAGGGGAGGAGACACAAGGATACATCATGTAGACTGGAAATTCACATAGTCTGAGGATGCCTGGGAGTCTCTGTAGCTCTTCCCTAGTGTGTGTGAGTTACAATTGTTTGCACAATAATACTAAGGTGTTATTTCCTTTCTCATTCTTCTCAAGTAGCCTCTGGAAAACTTCCCAAGTACAGTGGAGTTTTCCAGAGGCCACATGACATGTGATAATGTCATCACTCTGACAGCTGATTGGAAGTGTTTAAAAAGTTTCTCCATTTTAATTTCTAATATAATAAATAGTTATTTAGCATTTTCAGTATTCCAGAGTATAAAATTTCCTAAGACCAAAAGTTTGAGAACCATTCATACAGATCATCCTTTTTTGTCATCATACTACCAAATAACTCGATGGTTTTTTTTCTTTAAAAAATTTTAGAAATGTCCTAGTACTATGGATGAAGCCATCTTGATGATATTTAGGAAGCATTCTACCTTGCTAGCCACATAATATTCAGATAACCTCAAAAGCTCCAAGTAATTGTGAATGGGGCATATATCCTCCATAATGCATGGGTACAGTTACATCCAATCTTTTCACTGGATATGTTAATCTGCAGCAACAACAAAAGAAGGAAACACTGTTACCTGTGATATGTCTTTCCTTTGACAATATCTGAAACGGGATCAAAATTCAAGAGCACTGTTTTTGGAGTTCTTAAACTCCAACTGAACTGAAACCAAGAATCATAGCTTACCAGTAATTCAGGACAATCAAGCAAGTTTTTCTGTTTTTGTTTGTCTGTTTGTGTGTGTGTGTGTGTGTGTGTGTGTGTGTGTGTGTGTGTGTGTGTATGCAAGAAGTGAGGCCAACCTAGGGATAAGGCCATTTGTTTGAGATTTTTGAAGTCCACTCTTCAAATAAAGTCACAGACACTCTGAAAGGGCTTCAGAGACTCCCAAGGGTCTCCAGTCCACAGGATGTACCTTTGTGTCTCCAACTCTCTAGGGAAAGAGATGTTAGGATGTTTTTACTCACTTATCTGGTTAATATAGTCACTTGAGAGAGGTATTAGAAAAAAGTCAACAGCAGGTTTTCAAAGTCTGTTGATGCTAATTCTTCAAATACAGTCAGGGACAGATTGGTTCGCACATGCTGACCCAGTTTCAATTTAGTCAAGATTTTGAGATATGACAAGACTATTGCTTCCTAAAGAACAGAGATGTTCTTTTTATATATAACCACCCCCCAGAAGCTGGACATGAAACATATGTGTCCACAAATATGATATTTGCCAGCCTAGAGTTTTCTTTTGTCTCCCTTACATTGCAGATGGACACATAGACTGGGACAAATCTACAGCCATACGTCTTCCAACCAAAGTAACCAAACTACATAATACATGCCCTTGTATGGTTTTCACTGAGCAAAGATTAGGTGAACTTTTACTGTCACTAAAGGAGGTGATGTGAGGAGGGCAAGGCAAGGCAAAGCTCATGTGCTTCAGGGTTGCAACAACAAATGCCTTGCCATTTTCCAGTCATTGCATCACAGTATCCTCTGTCATCTACCAGAGTTACCAAGAGATAAGGCCAGGGGGTGACTTCTGTTTTTCACATTTATACTTTTTATTTTTTACTATTTATTTTTGTAGGCATGAGGGTCTCCCTTTGTTGCTCAGGCTGGTTTTGAACTCTTGGCCTCAAGTGATCCTCCTGCCTCAGCCTTCCAAAGCACTGTGACTACTGGGTTGAGCCACTGTGCCCAGCCCCACATCTTTACTCTTTT